TAAACATTTAATGAGTCTGGTTCCCAGCAGAATATTTACTACACCCATTTATTTCCTAGTAGTATATTTGCAGGAGCAAAATAGAGCAAAGGTTATTTCAGATCCTCCACCAATATAGCTCCCTGTAAATAATATAAAGTGCAACCATTTAACTCACAGAATTATTGTTAAAAGGTTAAATGTTCAGTAAATTCTGTCTCATCTAGTTCAGACTGCTATGGCAATTATTTGTAACTTGGATATACTTTTTTCAGGCATTTTGTTGTGAAGTCCTATCTTTGACTACAGGTAAATTTCAGTTATTAAGACAGAATTGGGTTCTCGGGAAAATATGTTAGGTCTTTTGCTTGCTTGTTCAGAAGTAAATGGGCCATACGAGGTGTCTGTTCTTGAAAAGACCCTTCCCCAGGCTCTCACCTCTCCAACCTCTGCTATTTACTGCTTATAGCAGTCACCTCAAACAGAAGTGAGAAACCAAGTATGTCTCAGTGGAGGATCAATTTGGAAAACTTTGGGGATAAATGAGGTCTTTTGTGGGAACGTCTCTGAACACAAATCTGTTTAACACTTTGGAAAGATGTGCTATACAATTCCACCTGCCCATTCCTCTGGAAAGTTCCACCCCATTACAAGAAGCACTTTCCAAATAGAGACTATTGCTACTTAATGGCTCATGGACAGTGTTTAATCCACCAGGAAGACTTGTTACATTTATAACTTTTCTGATGATTCATATAGAGTAAGAACCTTAGCATATATTATGCTGAATTTTGATTGAGCACATTAAGTTCTACCTAGGAAAACTCAACACAAGCACATCTGAAAATTCTTCTGGAATAAGAACAGCTAGACCCATTCTAGGGTCTATATATTACCTATATATAGTATATTCTATATACTAGCTTCCTGATGAGAAATATACACAGCTTATTTTCTGTAAAGCAAATACAAAATTTTCAATGATGATATTGTAATAATCAAGTGACTAATTCATGTCAAATGTTTAGTGGGAAGGGCTGGAGAAGCAGTTCAGCAGTTAGAAGAGCTTGAGCAAGCATGAGGACCAGAGTTCAGATCCCAGCATCTACTTAACAAGCCAAGCATCTAACACGCACTAGTAATCCCAATTCCGCTCTGAGGGGATCGGAGATAAGAAGATCCATTATACTTGCTGATTTCACATCTAGCCAAGAAAATGAGGGCCCCAGGTTTAGGGAGAGCTTCTGCCTCAAAGCAATAGTGAAGACTGGTAGAGGAGACTCCTGATGCTCCCTGCTGTGCATACATATATACACACACATATGTATGTATGTATGTATATGTGTATGCCCCTGCACACCCAAATAAATACATACTTAAAACATAAATATGTATAAGTAAATCTCAAAACATTTTAGTCATCTAGAACTATTTTATTTTTACTTTAAAGACTGGATTCATTTAGAAAAAAAACAAACAAGAAAAAAACTCTCAATCGAAAGGATGAGAGTTTATGTCTCAAGACATCTGCCAAGTAATAGCTACAGATTGCTAACCATCTTAATAGAAGATATTGTATAAATTGTATATGCATTCAGGAGTGGAACATATGTAAACCACCATTTTTATTTTAACAGGGGAGCAAAGTAGAAAGTGGAATACAGTAGTTTTCTTTTGGATGCAACTATCTGGAAGGAAAATAAGTATGAGGAGGGCAAACTACCTTTTCATTGTCTACACCAAATGGTATTATAATTTATTATATTATATATATATACATATTCTATATAACATATTTGTGTATACACACACACACACACATATTCAACTTGGGGCATCTCTCTGAAAGCCTACTCCCCAGCTACTAGATAATCAAGTACCCTGGACAGGTGCTTTTCTATGCCCACTGCTGCAGTATAGCAAACACGCCCACATGTCAGGCCTAGGATTTGCACATTAAGACCAAGTTACCATTTGTCTGCAGCTGTCCTGACTTCTCACAGTGGGTAAGCTTGCATCTTCAGAGCTGACCTCTAAGAAAAAGGTGAACATCAAAGCATATAGACAGGTCAAGCTCCTGTGTTGCGAGAGAAACCAGGATCTTGTTTAACAGTTCTTTTGACATTATTCCTTGTTTTTGAAGGAAGTCAAGAAACCAACCCTCCTAAGCAGAAAAGCACACACGGTCTATGTCACATGGCAGACCACACACAGTCTAGTCACATTCTAGGTCACATCTAAACCCAAGCACTGGTGTGAGGAGCCAGTAAAGGAAACCTGTGAAATCTTAAAACAGCCCAGTCAAGGTTAAAGGCCTCCAACTCAACTCCCCTCTTCGCCATCAAAGTCCATTAGTTGAAGAAGTAGTCTGGCTTACAAGGGGTGAGAACAGCAGGAGCCAGCAGACAGGGGCAGGACCCAAGGACATCGAACAGCTGGTCCACTTGAGAATGTCCGTGATTCCTCAGGTCACAGCCACTGGTGACTGAGATAAAATCCCTCTAAGAATGTGACTTACAGACTGCTATGGGAAAACTAACAGTATTATTAAGAACATTAGTTGACCAGAGTGACAAGGTTTCAACAGAACATATTTTAGACAGGACTGTGTGTGAAAGGGACAAGAACAAGACATGCATGACTAGGACTTCCCATGGCCTCTAATGGCTCCTTCCTCCAGTAAATGAACATTAACATATTTAACAGTGGTCACACCATTCCCTTTGCTACCTGGAATAAAATAATTGATCAACTCCCCAAGCTCTTCGAACTACTATTGAGTTTACCATGTATTTTGGTCCCCAAGTTTTATATGTTATTTATTTAGAGTCTAACACTTTACTGGTATCTAGCTGCTCTCTTTTAGTATCTGTGGATGGTCCCAGAAAAGAAGATTTTCAATCTTAAAAAACAGGACATCCAGATAAGCATATAACACACAAGAGAATTGTGTGTTCTTTACAGAGAGCGAACATTGGATGATGGGAGATTATTTTTTTTTTAACCTATCAGGGAAAATTTCCTAAACTCTGCATATAACTAGATATTTTATTCATTTTTCACATGGATATAAAAATATACAATAATACAGCTAATAATATAGAATTAAAAGTGAAGACCCTGTTTAAAGACATGTAACTAAAGGGAAAGCAAGTAATCTTAAACTTAGTATTAGTTATCTAATGAATTTACTATGAAATTAATAAGAGCCATACAGACATTATTTAAGTTGTGCTGATTTTTACGTTATCAGTAAGACCTTAGTCGTTTTAATTACAAACATCTTTTTCATTGTGAAAAAAATCTGCTTCCAAATAGTCTCTATAATGATGTTAAGGTTGAATATTTACTATGCATTGCTCTGAACAACCATACCTGTACTATGAATTCATTTCATCTGATAACACCGTGCTGTTGCTACTGGGCACTTGTAAGCAGGACAGAGGTCCATAAATATTGTTGCCAAGGTCACAAACATAGCAAGTATCACAGCCGAACTATAAACCCAAGAATGAAGGCTCTAAATTTTTATCTTTAAACCTCACACCATATTAACTCCCACTAAGGAACCTTGGTGTTGGACCAGGACAGCCAGCGCTCACTGATAACATACTTGAAGGCCGGATACATCCCTCAACTTGCTCAAAATTGGGTTTCTCATCCGTTTATGACCAGGTTTTACCCACAGCCTTCCTGGGGTTAATGAAAACCTCTTCTACAGAGCTACTCAATTAAACTTTAAAATTAACCGTCCATGTTATATAAGATGTATGAGCGCTCCTCCCCCTTCCAAGCAGAGCCTACAGTCCAATTGTGGCCAAGTCTAGCTTCACTATACAGATCAACACTGCTAACTCCAGTTTGTGGTCTTCACCATTTGGTGCCCTACGCTCAGCAACTGAAAGATGCAGAAAGGCCTGTATATTTCAGCCTAGTAAGGCAAACTCTAAAAACCAATGCCCTCTAAATACCAATTGTCAGTTGGCCCAAGCTTTGTAGATCTGGTCCCCAGGCAGACTTCATTCTGTCTCTCGGCTGCCCAGTTATTAACTCCTAATAGCATCTCAGATCATGAACTCCACCCTGTGTTGCTAGAGGACTCGGTGTGTGATGCCCGCTACGATTCCTCCCTTTGCTCACGTCCCACACATCCATCCATTCTATTATTATCCAGCTGATTCCCACTGACAAAGTTGAGCCTTTGCTGCGGCTGTCGTGACCGCATGCGATGGAGTGGGGTGGTGTGTGTAAGGGACAAAGGGAGTTCAGGTTCCTACCATAGCCTCCCGCCTGGTTCCCAGCTTCTCACCTTGTTTACATTGAGTTTGTGCTCACGTGGTGTTAACATCGTTCCTGTAAGGCATGAGTCTCAGTGTGTTAAAGCCTTATAGAGTCCCAGTTTCTCAGAGGAAAGGCCAGTGCAGCCTTCTGTAGCCTGGTCCCATTGGCTCTTTACCCTGGTCCGTGAACTTGCCCTGTTGCTGACTCCACCCAGGTTCCTGGCTTCTATGACGTCACAAACACGGGGGCCGTGGCGTTGCTATGTTCCCAATCTCCATCTGCTCCTGGCTTAAACCCCTCAGATCTTTAAGGCTACCTCACCCCTTTATACCATGATATGCGATTTGGTTGTTTATAATGACTTGTGTGCTTTTTGCCTACACGCTCTCGCTAAAATATAAGCCCTTGTCAGAGGCAGTGACCGGATATATTTCTCGAGCACATACAACAGTGCTGATAAATTTCGTACAGTAAATAAATCCTCCACTTTAGAAGTTGATCTACATAAAATCTTCACTTGGATCTCAGGCAATTCCCACTTAAGGCTTCACTGGCGGAGGAAAGCTAAGTGCGCCGATAGGAAATCTTGCTGTCAATTCACAGAAAGGCCCAAGAAGGTCATTGAGACTGATTACAGATTGATAAAAGCCGGTTCTCTAAACTCCCACTTATGAACCGGAAGTCTGCTTCTGTTTACTCGTACTGAGACTTTAAGTCACATTTTGGTTCTCTCCACTTACCTCCAGCTCATCAAGGGCACTTCCCAGGGTTGCCGCCTGAGTTTCCGAAGTCGCCGACACGCTGGGGATGCCTTGGGAAGCATTTGAAATGACATCAAGAGCGTTCTGAATCTCTTCACAGACTGTGTCCTTACTGGCTTTGAGCGAAGCAACATCGGAATGTTCCAAACAAGCTGAACAAATCGAATGCAAGAGCGGGGAGTTCTCCTTCAAAGTGGCCCGGGCCCCTGCAATTTCATCTCTCTGGGCTGGAGATTTTAAGTCCTGAGAAGAAGCAGGGGGGAAAACCACTCTTACTTTTGATCATAGAAGACATATTACCTGGATGCTCCCTGGGGCAAGAGGGGCAGCATGAGCAGATGCAGGTGCTAAGCAGTCAACTGAAGTAAACAAGGACATGGGGAATCTGTACAGTCCTGCAGATTCTGAAGTCCTACGATAGGAGAGGAAACAGTTTGCAGGTAAAGGTCACAATGGTGGAGAGGTGTCACTGATCAGCCATATATGTTGACTTAGATTTGGTTCCTATTACTGATATTAAATACTATGACAAATCAACTTAAAGGAAAAATGTAGGTTTTTTTTTTAACTCTTTGGGAGTCTGCCACCCAGCACCCAAATAAATACACAGAGACTTATTCTTACTTATGAATGCCTGGCCTTAGCTTGGCTTGCTTCATGCCAATTTTTCTAACTTAAATTATCCCATTTCTCTTTAACTACATTTTGCCTCTGGTTTTTTGCTTTCTTTATTCTATATATCTTACTTTCCTTCTTATTCCATAGCTGGATAGCTGGTTGTGTGTCTGGGTGGCTGGAATCCTTCTCTCCTTCTCCTTTCTCACACCTCCCCTTTTCTTTTTAAACTTCGCCTATTTATTCTCTCTGTCTGCCAGCCCTGCCTATCCTTTCTCTGCCCAGCTCTTGGCTGTTCAACTCTCTATTAGACCAATCAGGTGTCTCAGGCAGGCAACGTACCAGCTTTACAACTTAGAATGCAGCACATCTTTGCATCATTAAACAAATGTCCCACAACGTAAACAAATGTAGCGCACCTTCAACTAATCTCCCACAACAGAAGAAACAATTCTTTGGGCTCAAAATTCCAGGTTCCCATTCAGCATTGCAGGGAAATCAACGGAACAGAAACACAAAGCACACACTCACATGACACCCATGGTCAAAAGCAGACAGCACTGAACTAAGGCATACACGCCAGTATTCAGCTCTCTTCCTTTACTCTTTGAGAGTTAGAAATGCCCTCTCTAGGGAATGGTGCCACCCACAGTGGGTGGATTTTCCCCTCCATAATAACATAATGACAGTTCCCCCAAAGATGTGCCCACAGGCCAGCCTAGACAACACTTCACTGAGGCTTGCTGTCCAGGCGCGTCTAGAGTGTGTCAGGTGGTAAGGAAAGTTAGTCATCACAGCCATATAGCTCCCGAAGAACTCTGACGCATTATTAAGCACATCGTCAGGCATCTTGAATTACTAATATTCCGTTAACCTATTTTCCACAGATAGCAATATTTGCATTTAACTTTTCATTAAAATAACCCAAGTGAATTAAAAACACTAAATTAAAGTTTTCACCATTCAACTACCTTTTTCTATTTCAGAAATGCTAATGAATCTATTCTATATTTTTTCCCTGATATTTACCCAGCAAATAGTTGCTATGAACTTAGTATACACTAGCCCTTCTGTTAGAATTCAAGAGTACAGCTATGAGCAACCCCACCAGACCCTTGATCTCCTGAAGATCGTGTTAGGGGCCAGGAAATTTCTTGACAAATAATAAACTAAGCAAACATAGAAATAAATCGGTTTCAAGCAATGAAAATACGAATGAAACAAGATGTAAAAGATTATAGCAAATGAAGTATGAAAGTGCCTTAGTGTGGGCAGTCAGCAAGGCTATTTCTGTGAATATGACACTTTGAAGTAATTCTCATGGAGACTATCACAGACAGAGACGAGATGCTAAATAATGATTAAATGGCTGGTTAAAACTGCTCAGGATGCAGTGGAAAGATTGTCAAGCACTACCTTAACCAAGTGATGAAGGCTGGCTGATGTTATCAGTGATGGCACATGGATACATTATGGCACACAGAAAGGTGTCACTTCTGGGGTACTCGCTAGAGACCCAGAACCCTTGTCTAATGATGAAAAACAAAATAAGAGCAGCTCAGGAAAAGTTCCATGAGATACATGGGCTCCATTCAACAAGATCATCCAGGTTTGTAAAATAAGAAAAAATTATCGATAAATTGTCATAGACTAGACTGGACTAGAACTGAACATATGATAATTATATGCAATGTCATTCTCTGGACAGGATCCTAAAGCAGAATAAAGGCATTGTGCAAACCTGGTAAAGCCAAATAAAGGCCATTCCATTAGTTCTAGTTGATAGTGATGCATCAATGTGATCTTTTTGCTTGAACAAATTTTAAGACATTAGAAACTAGTAAAACAGAATTCTCTATACTGTCATGATTTTTCTTTATACAAACATAACTCTCAAAGAGTGGGGGAAGTAAGCTGAATACTGGCATGTACGCACTAGTTCAGTGCTGTATGTTAATAAATAAAACTTGCCTAAAGATCAGAGAGTAAAACAGCCACACTGGTCAGTCTTACAGACCAGGCAGTGGTGACACACACCTTTAACCCCAGTAGCCACACTAGTTAGCCATAGAAACCAGGCAGTAGTGGTGCACACCTTTAATTCTAGCACTAGAGAGGAATATAAGGCAGGAGGAGACAGCTCTCAGGCTCCATCTCATCCTGAGGATTCCTGGAGGCAGGACCGCCATTTCCAGCTGAGGTGGAGATAAGAGCCAGTAGCTGGCTGTTTTGCTTTTCTGACTTTCAAGTTGAACCCCAGTATCTGTCTTTGGATTTTTGTTAATCGTGCTAATCATAATTATTTCCACAAATTTTCTTTGAAATAACTGTCGAGGGACGTGGACATTTGTACTAGTTCATGCGTGTCATGTGCAGCATCTTTTACAAAATCCACAAAGATTTGATAAATGTGATTGTTATCTCATTTTTCAAAATGAGAAAGATGAGATGTCAAAAACACTAAGTATCTTCAGGCGAGGGGCAGAACAAAGTGGATACACTGTGTCTTTTATAACCTGTTAGTCAGCCTCATCTTGACAAATTTGCATTCTTTCCTGTTCAGTAAGGGTTTTATTCGTTATTTAAGAATGGAGTCTGAATGTATGTATGACACAGCCTATGAAGTACTTCTATACAGCACCTTACTTACTATAAATCTCAGCTTTGGCTGAAGTTCATCATTAGCTGCCCAATGCTAACTAACTAAGCAGATACTTAGTGGAGGATAAAGAGACTGGTGAATGAACGGAGATCTAAACATAGGTCTACTCACTACAAACATTCTTGGTTTGGTTTTGTTTGGTTTTCTACCACACTCTGCTTGTCTAGGACATTGCTGCTGGGATTAATAAATGGCTTGGGTCACTGTGTTTTTTAGTTCCTTCCCTTCCAAAAACAAAAGCTGTGTTCTGCCCCACGCAGGCTTTCTGGAGACGAGCTTCCTTACAAATTGTGGGGAGGGCAACTAGAGCAGCTGCCAACCCACTGCTCAGGTTCATTAAATACCCTAGAAAAGACAATTCCTGATTTCTTAGCATCCCATGCTTTCCCCCTTATCTGTGGTCTGGGTCTTAGTTTTGGCTCTAACATTAGGATTACAAGATGGGAGTCACGCATTCTTTTGGTATCTGTTTTTCCGTCTGTGAAAAGGGAGATAATGATACCTCTGCCGACCTTCTTACAAGACAGCAGACATGGAACACAACCTGTGGCCATACACGCCTGAGCCTGCCAGCTTCATCCAATCTTAGCAGCCACTGGATGTAAGAAATGGAATGTCTATGGAAAGCAGTAAATAATTATAGACAATATAATGGATCATCCCTTACATTTTATCAAAAATAGTACGTAGCTTTCATCCTGCGATGGTCTTGGTGATTTTCATATCCCTGGTTTACAGCGGCACTCACCAGTGGAAGTCACATTAGGACACATGAAGTTGTAAATCGCATGAGGAACATAATAAATAGAAAGGATGCACAGGCTGTGAGACACACTCACAAAAACATAAATGTTCAGAAAGAGCCTCGCGAGACTATCTGTGTGAGACAACATAATCAGAACACATATTACATAAGTTCCTCTAAGTAGCCATGCATAGTTCTTTATTTAGAATGATATTGGCACTATTCAGGTGGAAAATAGTGTACCTAAGTCACGGCAAAGGAGGTTAAAGTTGAAAAACATCATTTCCTTTGCTTTGGTGGTGGCTAGGCATATCTTAATAAGCTGTATAACTTTAGTGCTATAAGGACATTGGGGTTTTTAAGAGTACAAATGTGTTTGGCTTTGTCATCCCTACCTAAGGCAATGACAGAATCCTGAATGAGTACCAGTACCTCAAACATCAATTCTGTGAGACCTGCAAGCAAGGACAGGATCTGTAAGCATAGTAAAATTCATACACTATGACAGTGTATAGAAAGGGGGAAAGGTAGAGGCTTTCAAGAGCATTTGAGAAGGCAAAGTCATTGCTCACAAATGATACTGCACATTATATACTTAATGTGCCAAATATACTCCTGGATAGACGGCCATCATTATTCTAAATTAAAGCCTACTGTGGGTGTTAGTGGCTACTTTAACTGATGATACTATGGGTTCATAGGCTGTCTGTTTATCCTTACTCCAAACTAGTTCAAAGTATTTATTCAGTATCAAGGTCAAGTGGGGATGACCCTGGATAGACAGGCATACAGAATTCGGCTCCTCAATGACTGACACATATTTAATATCTTTTCTAAATGTGTTAGAGAAAAACACACACACAGGATTTCCAAGTCTAGTAGGCGTTAAATGCTTCCAGCTGATGAAGAAACTCGCAGATGGGATTGCAAAGAAAAGAGAAGACCTTACACATCTACACAAGCTGGTAGAGAGAGTAACATACGAATTTTAACCCTGGCAAAGAAAATGAAGTATATGTAGAGATTTTAAAGATCACATAATGTAAAAGCAGGATGCTCTAAGCTATCAGTTAATTCAACCATTCAACCGACAATTATTGAGGCTATGTTATGCATCAAGTATTATGTTGATTAAGGGCTGGGAATGTCAAGAGAAAGTTCTCAAACCAAAAGTGTAGACAAACAAAGAACTTTTTATAGAAACTGAGGGCTGGAGAGTTA